GGATTCTATCGGATGCCACGGGCATTCGGCACCAATACCCATCAGCTTCAAGGATGCCGTAATGCAACTCAATCTGTTCGGCAAACCGATACTGTTCAGCATTCTCCACCCACCATGAGTAAGGGCGGTTCTTTATCATGGCCGAAGCTACTTCGGCATCCTCCCACTCCGAAAACCCAGGAAGGATGTCCCAAAGGATAGCGCTCGGCCCCTCCGTTCTCTGAGGAGGAGCCGAAGAAATGGGAGTCGCCCTAATCCCTTCAGCAGGGTCAGGCTCTACTCTCTGTCCATTCCAGGTCCCAATCCTGTTCCTGGGATCGGGAATTGGCCTTGCTCTTCTTGGAGCACGGGCTCTACCTCTAACTCCTCTCACCATTGATGAATTTCGAAGAAAGAAGTCGAAAAAAGGGGAAGGAGTTCAAATTCGAAGAAAAATAAATTAAAATCAAAGGAATTTACCTTAATCTGAAGCGAAAGTTGCCGATTTACGAATTGGTAGTGACGAGTCTCAGTTTCTAAGCTTAATGCTCGGGGAATTTGCGAAGTTTTGATTTGGGTTCTTGGGCTCTCTCGAGAATTCTGGGTTTGTGTTGGTTAATAAGTGAGGAGAGACGACGCGCCTCTAATTATATCTCCATAAATGGGAATACTGGGAGTCCGCGTTTCAATTTCTCTTAAATACCCCACTAAGTAACCGTTAAACACACGACCTTGCGATTAACCGCCCATTATCCGTCCAACTTCCACAATTATTCGCCTTAACTGTTGTTATCTCATTAATTACGGTTTAATTACGGTTTAAATTCAAATTTCTTGGATTAATTAAATCATTCACTTCCCTCCTTTTCTGATTAATCAAACCCGACCCGTCATCCTGCCAAATCGGGTCTGGGGGGCAAGTTGTTTGGGTCCAATTTAGTCTAATTGGGCCTAGTCATTAAATGATACAATTTAAAGCCCAAGGTCAAGGTTCAACTCTCCAATTGTGCTAAAGTCAAAGATCAATCCTCAAGGCAAGTCAATTGGGCTAAGGCCTAACTTCTCCATATATGCAAAGGTATAAAAGCCATCAATATTACATTTGTACATTCATTCAAACAAAGCCTCAAGCAATTAATTCTCTTGCATAGCATTCTCTTTCTACACACTGTACTGACTTTAGCATCGGAGGGGCCTTCCTCGGCAACACCCCCGAGGCTAGTTTACGTGTGTTTACTGTGCAGGAAACCTTCGGCCCAACATCACTTGGACCGAATCCAGTCTTCTCCACTTCATCGGACCTTCGACAAGGTCCCATTGTTTTCACCCGAAACATAACATATAATTTTACTCAAAGAACACACTGATCACACTCAAAGAAGGGATTTGTTAAACATCGCCCACAAATTACTACATAAAGCCCACAAAATTCACTTGGTTTGCCGAAATTGCCCTTGACCTTAAAAAAAAACACTCACACTCTCATCACTCACACTCTCATCACTCACACTCTCATTGCTCATCTTCTTTCAACCTCTCTAAAAAAAAAAAAAATTAAATAACGGCAATGTCGAGGCGGCAAGGCAAGGAATTGGCGGCGGCGGCGGAGGGAAGGATGTCCCAAGGAGGAAAGGTACATTTTGTTTTTTTTTTTTAAAAAAAAGGGAAAAACCGTCGTGAACGCGGTGGGGCGCCCTGGCTGGACGCCCAGCCAGCGGTGGTGGCGCTAGATGCAGACGCCGCCACCAGTTGACTGGCGCCTGGGCTGGACGCCACAGCCAGGTTGTGGCGTTTATTCTAGGCGCCGCAGCCGTGGCTGTGGCGTCCAGCCCAGGCGCCAGCCAACTGGTGGCGGCGTCTGCAGCTGGCGCCACCACCGCTGGCTGGGCGTCCAGCCAGGGCGCCCCCCCCATTTTTTTTTTTATTTTTTATTTTTTTAAAAAATTGTTTTTAATTTTTTTTTTTTTTTTTTTTTGTAATATAATTTTGAATTGTTTTTATATTTTGTTGTTTATTTTTATAAATTTTTTCAATTTCGTTGTATTTTTTCTACGTTTATATTTTGTTTACAATTATTTGTATGTTTTTAGTTTATTTGATTTGCGATGATGATTATTTATCGTATATTTTGTTTACAGTCGCTGACGATGGCTGATGGATGAACATTAGGCCCGATGTAGTTTCTCAGCTTCTCCAACACCCAATAATAACTTGGAGCCGTCTCATCCCTGATGATTGCATGACCAATCAGAAAGTTCTGGTTCGTTGGAGCCATCCCAACCATCTCAACCAGAGGGAACTTGTACTTGTTTGTCTTGTACGTTGAGTCGATCAAAATCACAAATGGCCAAGACTTGATCATATCAGCACAATCAGGATGCACAAGGAAAAGATGAGTCACCTCCGCTGTATCTTCATCAGAATCAAACCAGAACAGGTAACCACGTGATTGTGCCTGGTGTAGCAGTTGCTGTATAGGGTTCCTTCCCTCTGACCGTTCAAACCTGAGTTGCTGTCTGACGTTGTAGATGTGTCTTCGGTTTGGATGGTCTTCTGGAAATTTCTCTAACACAGATGCTAATATTTTAGCAGGCTTCACTTGAGCATCACTCATTTCTTTCACAACTAGTTTCGCAGCAGGACTTAAGCCGCTCAGTTGTTGATGACCCTCTTCATATACTATCATCTCATGGTTGTGATACCCCCATTTAGAGTAACCTATCACTTCCCAACCGTCACGACTCCGTAGTTGTCGAACCTTTACTCTGAACTCACACCCACAACCTTTCCGCTTTGTGTCAAACCGAGTGGCTGTACGAAAATCTCTTTCTTCTCTTTTGCGATAACGGTCACATCCTAAAATGCGATCCATTCTACCATCCCGTTGAGATTTATGAGTTGCTACTACCAAGCAAAATCCAGCTGCAATTGCAACCTGTTTTGCCCAATCAATCGCCTGTTGAGCTTCTTCGAATGGACCATCATGTCCAAATATCCCACTGTAATCATTTCCGTCTCCACCATATTCCTGCATCAATTATATATTACAATAAATACATTTAACGGATAATACATTTAATTTCTATATTTACACAGAATTAACACAAAAAAAAACATAATTATATATAATCAAACTTAATTTTTATAAAAACCCAATTCGAATTTTCAAACTAAATTTAAAAATATACCATTTCGAATTTTCAAATTTAATTTTAAAAAAACCTATTTCGAATTTTCAATTTTAATTTACAAAAAACCCATTTCGAATTTTATTAAAAAATCATTTTCGATTTTTTTTTTTACAAAAAAATTAAATAAAAAACAACAACAAAATCAAAAAAGAAAAAAAAAAAAATTATTAAAGGTGGCGTCTGCCAGGGCTGCCACAGCCACTGGACTGGCGCCTGGCAGGGCCGCCACACCCAGTGGAGTGGCGTCTGCCCAGGACGCCAGTCTGGTGGTCTGGGCTGGACGCCACTCTGGTGGTTCTGGCGTCTGGCTTGGACGTCCAGGCTACGGTTTGGGCGTCCACCCTAGACGCCGGAGCCACTCCGACGGTAAACCGTGAATTTTAACGGTGACTTACCTCGTTTTCCGTCGACGACGACGTACCTCCGGCGTCCCCCGCATCTCCGGCCTGCCCTCCGGTCTCCCCCGGCGAGCCAGTACGACTCCACATTTTTTACACCGAGTTTATTTCAATTTTAGAAAAAGGGCATAATGGTCAAATCATATCATATTTGTGGGCTTTATATGGTAAATTGCGGGCGATGTTTAGCGTTTCACTCAAAGAACATATTAAAGGTATGTTCTTTGTTAAACATAGGTATGTTCTTTATCAAACACTATATGTTCTTTCCGCCTTTTTTTTGTTTACCCGGGTGCGCCATGAGCATGGTGCACCCGGGTATTTTATCTAATTTTCAGCTACGAGTAGGTTTCTTTTATTATTTCTAACTCAGCTAATTTATTGTTATTTTATAGCTTTATATTTAGTATAATTTATGAATATTCTTAAGTACTCCACCTTTAAAATATCATAACCTTAAAATATAAAGGAATAGAAATAGGAGATTATAGCGTTGAGGATTTGCGGTGGATCGCGACGCTCAGTACTCGTATTTATAGTTGATATTTGATAGTTTGGAGGAAGAGGAAGAAACTTCATTATAAATTGCTACATTAATCTAGAAGTCTCTTGAACCTTCATTATTTTTAGTATCTTCTACAACATGCAACCATTCAAGTATTTACTACAGTATTTTCCTCAAAAAAAAAAATGATCTTTATAGAATTTAACCACGCTATTTATTTTAATTAATAGAGAACCATTGTATGCATGGTTTGAACAATTTCCTAAATTATAACTTTAAGCACTTGTAATCCGGATAGGTTCATCCTTTAATTTTTAATTAATTATCTTTACAATCTTTAAGTACTTTAGCTTGTGCATCTATTTCCACTGATTTTGTGTAATTGTTCTTTAATTTATCCGTTTGTTATAAAATTTAATACGTAATATAATAAAGGCAAAAGCTAACGAACACCAGTGGGGTGTAAACATTAATTACATTGATCGACGCGTGATTTCGTCCTGCTTTTTTAAATTAATACTTGACATTCGGCGTTCGCTAGCAAGATCCGTATAATAAATAGGCCTTTGAGTACTTTAGCATGTGCATCTACTTTCACTGATTTTGTGTAATTGTGTCTTTATCCGTTCATTATAAAATTTAATTCATAATATAATACGAAGTATAATATATAGGCGTATCATTTTGTAAAATATTATACTAAAGGTTATACGGTTGATAGCAAATAGTTGAGATTGTATTATTTTTTACACACTGCTAATAATTAAATTATTTTAACCTAATTTTCCTACTTGTATAGTTGTATATTTTTTTTTTATGTTGAATATATGTTAAATATTTGTATTACTTGAAAAAAGTCAAACATAATGCTCCACAAAACCTAAGAATTTCAAATCATCAAAATATCTTATATCTCTATTTTTATATATTTTTAAAAATAATAATCCAAAAAACAATAGCCAGAATTTTGCTTCCCCAACCAGAACAAAACTATCCACCTCCTCATCTCCAAACAAGGCTTTCTCAATCAAGTCAACACTCTGAAGCTCCTACTCAAACTCTCTCCAAATTCTTCCCAATTTATCTCACTCATATTTTCATCTCCATCACTTTCATATATTTGCATTTTATTTTCTAGAAATTAACCATATAATACCATAATTAACAATTTTGTACTACTTGTAAATTAAATTCTAAAATATATTAATGGCTCTGTATTTATCCCCTTTTCACTTCACTTCTCTCTCTTCCAAATCTGATTATTCTTTACCCTCTAAATTTCCCGGCGCCGCCGTCTTTTTCCGGCGAGAATTCCCCGGAGCTTCTGTTTCTCCGCCGTCTACTGATTCCGGCCGCCGTTGTATCTTAAAAGGTATCAGATTCTCTCCCAAATAAAAATATTTAATTAAATTTAGCTTTCTTAGATTATTATGTGAAGTTTTGTGAGTTTGTATTTATCAATGTGACAGTTATTAGTAGTTATACTATGAACATGAAGTAGTCGAGACTTTAAAAAAAATGATTTTGCCTTTTTATCAAAGTTCAAATGACGTGATTTTGGAATTAAATTTTCCCTTTAATTTAACATGATAATTGATACAAAATGTGAAAATTATGTGGAAAAAAAAAATGTTTAGAATTTAGGGTAAACAAACAATTAATGGTTAAAATTGATTTTGGGGTTTGCAAAAATCTGTAGCTATTTTTGTGTTTGAGTTGATAAAGATTAACTTTAACTTTGATTATTACTGTATCAACTATAAAGTTTGGACCTTGAATTGATGATTACCTATAAAAGTAATTTTTGTTGACATGGGTACTTCTATAGATGAATTGAAATTGCTTTAATTAGTATTTTTGGATCGAATCTAGTAGAGAAATCAATGCATAAAGTTTAACTTTGGCTGAAACCAATTTCAGCAATGGCTTTAGCAAAAGTGTTGAAACTATTAAATTGCTCCCCATTTTTTTGCTTCATGATGAGGTAAAAGGTGACAGATCTCTTGGAATGGACATAGTGAATTAGTGTTTGATCAGCATTCGCTTTTCGGGCATTTTGATAGTCTTTATAGTAAATGTCTTTTTTAGTTATAAGTTATAACTATTGATTTGCAATTTTGATATGAAATGGGCTCAAGGGAAAGGAGGTAATGTCATTAGCTTATATGTATCCTTAAATGGATGAGTCAAAAGTAGTAAGTAGTAGAGAATTGGTAATAATTTTGTTAATACTATTTTTTTATTTTTCCTTTTCTTTCTTGTGCTATGCAAGGCTTATCAAAGCATATGAAGTTTATAGTTATGGCCTTTTATGGGTATACATATCACGATTTCTACTTCTGAGCGTGAACCGTAGTACAAATTCGTTGGTACTTTTACCCTCTCTTTCCTTTTCTCCACTAGATATACATCACCCTACAACTCTATTCTAGCGTTAGCATTGGAGTGGTTTCCTAGACAAAACCCGCTTGAGGTATGATTGTTGTCCTTACAGGCAGGGATCAACGTCAACTATTACCTTCATACTTCATACTGCAACTGTTCTCTATATATATCCTTTGTTGCTTTCCCCTTCTATTCTGGTCTTCTGGAGTATAGTTCCTAATATTGATAAGTTTGATTATTTGATATATCGAAGATGTGGGGGTGGTGCTTAATCTTGTATACATGATCTTTTTTCTCCTATTATTTGATATGTTGTTGATTATGAGATTGATCCATCCAATGTTTATTATTTCATCTTCTGTAGATAGGGCACAACCTGGAAATAATGGTTCATTTGAAGCAAGTGAGTCTTCCCTTGTGGTTTGCTTCGGGGAAATGCTTATTGATTTTGTGCCCACAACAAGTGGGCTTTCCTTGGCCGAAGCACCTGCATTTAAGAAGGCTCCTGGTGGTGCCCCTGCCAATGTTGCTGTTGGAATTGCTCGTCTAGGTGGTGCATCTGCATTCATAGGCAAGGTAACAATCACTCCTTGTTGCTGTGCTGCCCGTTCGATTGTTCATTGCAATCACTGCCTTTCAGTTAATTTCACAGCTTTTCTTTTACAAACTTCAAATATCCTGTATTTTGAATTTTAACATTTGAAGCAGATCTAAATTTACCTCAATGTCCTGCACAAGACTGTTCTTTTTCTAACGAGTAAAACCATCTGTTTCTAATGACTACAGGAGGAGAATGAATATCAATTTTCAATATTTGTAACATACTTCATGTTGGTATATGTATTTAATCCTGCTACATGAGTCTTGTTTATGGGTGAAAAGAATGAAAACCTGAATCATGCATTTTGTTCCAGAATTTAAATGCTTTCCTAAACTACTTTTAGTTTTACCATGAATGATGAGGCTTGTGACAGTTTCCTGATTATATTATCTCAAGCACAACAGACTTCATTGCAGCAGTTAGATATAACTGAGCAATTGAGTGTATGGATAATTTGATTGTTACGTCCTATTCAGAATTATCTATTGCAAATTGTGCAGCAAAAAACTTTCTTGGATATCTTTAGTGTCTTAAGATTTGCATGATGTTATTCTTAGTCCTAGAATGGACTATGTGGCTGAATTTAATAGAAAATTGTGATAATTCAAGAGGCTCACTCACAATTCTAGACACAACTATTAGACTATAGCTAATGCACAACAATCAGTTTAGTCATTATGTGATGCTCCATGTTTCCCCCACTTCGCCTATGTGAGGACTACAAGCCTAAAACACTTTGCGTTTTGGGGCGAGTCACACCTCAAGATTCATGAAGCTACAAATTGCAGAAACATAGTTGATCTCGAACATAAGCCTTTCTCCTTCAATGCACTTTTATTTATTTATTTATATTTTGCTTCTTGGGGGGGGGGGGTGTCAAGAATTAGTTGCTCTTAGTATCTTTGGTGATAATTTGCTGTCATATTGCTGTTTATTTGCACAGCTGCCTTAAAAAATCTCTTCTGCTGTGTTTCTGCATTATTTGTACATGCAGGTTGGTGAAGATGAGTTTGGGTACATGCTTGCTGATATTCTAAAGGAGAATAATGTGAACAGTGAAGGAATGCGATTCGATCCTGGAGCACGAACTGCGTTAGCCTTTGTGACATTGAGGAAAGACGGGGAGCGTGAATTTATGTTCTATCGTAATCCTAGTGCTGACATGCTGCTTCAGGAATCTGAGATTGATTTTGAGCTTATTAGGAAGGTATTTTTTTTAAAAAAAAAGTCCTTTCTGATTAAATGTAGAGATCTTGCTATATATAGTGAATACATTGTACTTTGTACATCAAATTTTTTGGTTGAAAAGTTAGGACTTGTGAGCTTGAAGTGCATGGATGGCAGTATGGTACTGATGAAAATCACTGTGACCGATGCTATGAAACTCAAGCACAACATTGCATGCATGTTTAACTAAGGCTGAATCATTAAGTAATTTGTTTCCATGTTATTTTCTTGAGGACTATGATCAGAATCCAAAATTCTTCGGTGGAAACCGGAAAGGATGGATTATTCTAACAAAGTAAGAAAACTAAATGTTGCATTTAGCTTTTCTTCTTTAAGATTAAGGATTTTATGTGATTTCAAGAAAACAAGCTATCTACTGACTAATACTCCATTTACTTCAACAATCAACAGGCAAAGATATTTCATTATGGGTCAATAAGCTTAATTACTGAACCATGCAAATCAGCTCACATTGCTGCTGCTAATGCGGCCAGAGATGCTGGTGTGCTGCTCTCATATGATCCCAACTTAAGGCTTCCATTATGGCCATCTGCAGAGAGTGCGCGTGAAGGGATCCTTAGCATTTGGGATACTGCAGATATTATCAAGGTTGGAGACCAATTGTGATCTCATGCTAAAATATTGTGTTATATTTTAAATAAATTTAAAGGTGAAAGATGGATCTGACATTTCATTTGGGTATAGATAAGCGAAGAAGAGATTTCCTTTTTGACTCAAGGAGAAGATCCTTATGATGACAATGTTGTGCGCAAACTATACCACCAAAACCTCAAGCTACTACTTGTGACTGAGGGAGCAGAAGGTTGTCGGTATTATACCAAGGTAAGACTTCCTAAAAACAGAGATAGAAAGAAAATAAACAAGAAAATTTATTGGTAAAACAGTGTTTTTGGATTTGATATGTTGCAGGAGTTTAGTGGTAGAATTGAGGGTTTGAAGGTAGAGGCTGTAGACACCACAGGTGCGGGTGATGCCTTTGTTGCTGGCATGCTATCCCAACTAGCTTCTGACATGAACTTGATTCAGGTAAGGTTCCGATACCATATATCTATTACTGAGAATTGTTAAAATGAATGCGGCTGCATGGTGATGTAGACCGGAGAGTCTTGTGTGTGGGGTGAGGGTCAGGAAGAAAAAATAGTGGAATCAAGTCTAAGCAAAGTGCATTGAAATGTAAAAGATGCCTTCCATGAGACAATATTATTATGTCACATACATTTGTGGTACTTTTGCAGGAAGAGGATCGTTTAAGAGACGCTCTACGATTTGCCAATGCCTGTGGTGCATTGACTGTTACAGAGCGAGGTGCGATTCCTGCTCTGCCAACTAGAGAAGCAGTGCTTAATGCAATGCTGAAGTCTGTGGCTTAAGATTCTGGTTTAATCCATGTAATTTTTGTACCACTATTCCCTCATTTTTAGGCCATAATGTGCTTAATAATGTTATTTGCAAGGTCAACTTTAGTTTAAATAATGGCCCTTGCATTATTGCATGTCGTGTATATTAGCGTGCCAAGTATTAGTGTGGCTGCAATCTTAGGATTTGCCGGCAGTTTTCTTACATATTGTAATCTTGACTATTCTTCAAAAAAATTGAGAGATAATTTGCAAACATTTTTCTTACCCTTACTGGGTTGTGAATGAAATGCTTCAATTATATGTAGTTCACCGAAATTTGGCTAGAATTCTTCTTTTTTTTATTAGTTGTTTTCGCTTACATAGTTAAATGTTCTATTAACAAAGTTTTTGTTAGGGATTCCCTGAAAGATGCTTCATACTTCTGTTCATCAATGACTGAACTTAAGGCTATGGACTAATGTTTATTAGGCAACCGTAAGTTAATGCAAGAGTTGAGACGCGCCGTTAATATGATGATATCGTGATTTTTGTACTACGGTATAAAAAAAATAATTCCATATCTAAGATATACTCCATACCAAAATTCTGTGGTAAATAAATCCATAACCACAAATAGGATTCTAGTATTTGGTCTTTAACTATATTTAGCAACAATAATCAATATTTAGATTCTAATTACAGCCACATCTTCAACTCTAAGTTTAAGGCGGTCCGATTAGTAAGCTAATTAATCCTCTAAAACCAATGGAAGGCCTCGCTACTCTGAAATTAATAAACATCTATATATAATTAATGAAGTTATTTTGTTTGATATTAACATTGAAAATAAACATGGCTGCTGAGGATACACCTCAAGACATTGCTGATAGGGAGAGAATCTTCAAGCATTTCGACACGAATGGTGATGGCAAAATATCATCCTCTGAGCTTGGTGACGCCCTCAAAACCCTCGGCTCAGTCACCCCTGATGAAGTTAGAAGGATGATGGCAGAGATCGATACTGATGGTGATGGTTTCATTTCGTTTGATGAGTTCACTGACTTGGCTCGGGCTAACCGTGGATTGGTTAAAGATGTTTCCAAGATCTTCTAAGCTAGTTGATTAACTAAAAACATTACACTAATGAACATGGAATGGTGTCTTTGGTTCTTGCATTTTTTTTTTTGTAGTAAATATGCTTTTTCTTTGGTAGAAATATAAGGACAAGGCACTAAAATCACATGATTTTCTGTAACTACATGAATGAATGTCTTTACGTAGTTATTGTATCATTTCTGTAATATTTTGATGAATTGCAAGGTTTCAATCTTTTGCATTATTTGATATTATGCAAGCGAGGAATTGAATCTACATGTGATCATGTGACTTCATGTCTAGTTGTATGAATTTTTGTATCCTATGTTTCCGGAAGGTGTATGCTACATTGTAATAATTTTGAGTGACAACCGCGATTTTCTGACTTAGAATCCATACTAAAACAGACCTATCCCTGAATTTGCCAACCTGAAACAAACCTGACTTGAACTCGAGTCACTCACACAAGAACTTGTATGGAAAGTATGCAAAGGTAATTGTTTCGGCATACTATTTGTTCATGGGATTAAGGCTTTGTTGTTGTTGTATAGACGATACAATAGAGTTTTATTCATTTAGGCTGCAAGGTAAATCAGACTTCTACACAAACATTTACAATTCATTCAAACAATTCAGAGGCAATTTTCTGACTTGCTCATTTTTGATGTGGCTGATTCTAAAAGACTCGAGTCAAGCAATAAGACTTATTGAAAAGAATATTTGAAATAAAAAACATGTTACTGAAATTCATAGGTCAAGTGCATTGACATTTTATCAGAAATTTCTTGCATCAACACTGCAACAGAGTTAATATTACTGGTGTGAAATTGAAGTGTCAAAAAAAAAGTTATAGAACAGACTCAATCACTCTGAAATTCTGGACAAATTTTCACAATGTTAAGTTTCTCAGTTCCTCAATCAACTTCCTAACGAGAAGCTCGATCCCTCTCGAGCAGCACATTGAAAATATTTATGTACACACTGATCCTACTTCTATACAAAACATTTAGCATCCCCTGCTCCTATCACCACCTTATGAAAGAGCCTGACAAATTCTCTCAATAGTCAACTATCAAACGACAATAAACAACGCTGATGTAGAAATTGGACAGCCATTCACACAAGGAAAAAAAAAGTTCACCGAACTTTCATTAGTGTCATCGACCATAAAGGGAATCATCATCTTCCAGCTCAGATGCTCCAAGCATAGCCAAAGCCAAATGAGACTTCATTTCACTTTTTGTTCGTTGTAATATTGGAGGAACATAACTTCTTCGACTGCCTAAACTTGCCTTACCCTTAACAAGGCAGCCTTCTCCTCTTAGCAGAATGATGGCTTCATTGATGCTTGGCCTACTAGATTCTTCACCACTCACACAGGCAGCTGCAGCGCGTACCAATTGGGTTATAAGCTTTGAGCTTTTAGGAGTAACTTTAGCTCGTGGGTCAAGCAAACTGTCAAATGCTGAGTCTCCCTGGTCCATTAGTGGCTTCGCCTGCAATAGCAAGAAACGATGATTTAGTACATTTTGATTCACACATGAATACAGCAGCAGAACACAACATTGTGATCTTCAAAAAAAGATTCACATTTACTCTAAAATTTTGAAATGCCCTCGTAAACTAAACTTTGGTACATTCAGAAACACTAGTATAAATTTTAACTGCATAGATGACTTGATTATTTGTGGATTTTAATACTCTTATCAAATAGATCTGTATAAATGTAAAGATGTGGTAGGACCATTACGAAGGAATCATTTTTGCTATAAAAACAGAAAATTTTCAAATTATCGATAAATGAACTTATGAGCCATGTCTTTGTCAAACTAATTATACACCGTACAGGCTGTTGGTGTTAGTCGCCATTATCCTCTACCAAACAGTGGGGGACTACCAAGAGTACTAACCATATTCATTAAAACTAAAAATCAGTTTGATGGCCTCACTAGAGTTAATGCTATAACCCTATAGATGAACACTTGTACTAAGGAAAATAAAAAGGATCAATTCATCTTAATCCAGAACTAGTCAAATACAACAGTTTCAGCTCTTCTGGTCAGCGTATAAAACGAAAGCAAACCGACAAATGTCATCATCAAAGTTAATGTTGCAACTTTCTTGGTGAATCGTTTGTTTTCAGGATGATCTAAGGAGGAGCAATTATCATAAGACCTAATCGAAAACTAGACAATGACTAGAAATTTAGCTCATGCTCATCTGATCAGGGCGCTTAATGAAAGGAATACAAGATTGAAGCAGTAACATACCCATTGAACCAAGTTCTCTTCTCCGGATGGCCTTGATGATTCTATTGGTTTTCGGCCTGTTATAAGCTCTAAAAGGACAACTCCAAAGGCGTAAACATCAGTTTTATCGGATACCTTCCCGTGTTGGAAGTACTCAGGAGCCAAATATCTGCAAAAAAAATTCAGGATTCACCAAGTAAAGTAAAGAAAAAAAGTAGAATTGCTGCACAGAAAATAGATGAAAAACCAACTTTTTTTCTTTTTCAAAATTGACAAACAATAATACTTGTATTTATTTGTAAATTCATACCCAAAGGTTCCTTTCACAGTTTTGCAAAGGAAAGGGACTGATGGTGCTGCAGTCCATGTTGCTAATCCGAAATCACATAGCTACAAAAATTCATAAATTCAGTTTAGAGTTTAGACATCTTATCATATATTAAAATCAAAACATAACATTAAATCCAGAAAGAAACCAGGAATTCACCTTTGGCCTTTTCTTGGAAGAGAGAAGAATATTGGAGGGCTTTATATCTCTATGAACAATACATTTTTCAGTTCCATTATGTAGATATGCAATAGCTTCTGCAATTCCTACAGCAACCTTATACCTTGCAGACCATGAAAGCGACGCGAAACCCTTCCCACTCTTCTTCTTACCTGCAAATAACATCTCATAATTAAATTTTCATCCAAAATTTACACAACACCAATGAAAAATCTCATAAAACAACAAAAAAATCGCGCTAGCTATACCGTGCAAATGTCGCTCTAGGCTTCCACTGGACACATATTTGTAAACCAAGAACAAGCCTTCCTCAGGATCAATACAAAATCCCAAAAGAGGACCAATGTTTGGATGTTCAAGAGAACTTGCAATCATCAACTCTCTACAAAAAGCCTTTGTATTCTCCTTATCTTCTTTATCTAACCTCTTTACTGCCACTGCTGTTCTCAAAAATCCAACTCTACCTCTAAATACATAACTCAATGCACCTCTGCCCAATACTCTACCTGATTTCACATCAAATATACACCAACATCAATCCCTTAATATAACAATTATTATACTAAATGAAACAGAAAAGATTCAACTAAAATAAAAGCAACCCATTTAATTACCTTAGAAATAACATGAATTGTAAATTTCTTTTTTATATCAAAAACAAAAAAGATAAAACTTTTTTGCAATTAATACAACAATCAACCAAAAAAACCCCAGAAAAACACAAAACCAGAGTAAAGCAACCCATACAATCAGCAAAAAAAAGGAACAAAAACCCAGAAAAGAATGAACTAAATTAAAGCAAAGCCATATTAAATTCAAGAAATGATGAAAAAAAAAAAAAACAAAAAAACCCATGAAAGTACCTTCAGAGAAATTGCGGGTAGCAGAAAGAATTTCAGCAAAGCTAAACCTGATCAAAGAGTTAGCAACAGGTGAAATACTCTTCTCCAATGATTCAATCCTTCGCCATTTAAGCTCTTTGGAGTTGGAATCACTCGAATTATTATCCAAATTCATCATTAAAATAGTAGTAGAAGAGTTCAAATTAGCAGTTTTTAAGGAATCAATTTCCTTTTGAGAACATAAACTGAACCTAAAAGAGGAGTGAACTGAGTGAGGTTCACAGTTTGCTAAATCACCACCAGATTCTGCAAGTAACCATGCTTTATTATGCTCTGAATTACTCTTCTTTTGCCCTTCATTTTTGCTCATTTTTGGTACAAAACAACCAAACCCAAAATCCCAAATCATATTCATCAAAAAAGATTTAAACTTTAATTCATTGTAATTATCACAATAATCATCCTCATCATTGTCTATAGTATCACTATAAGCAGGGATTAAAGAGAGAGAATTTGAAGAATTTGTAAGAATTTGTTGGTTTTCAGTGTAATCACATTGGGAAAACCCCATTTTAGATCTCAAAAAAAAGAATATACAAAAAACCCAGAAAAAATCATAAAGAAGGATGAAAGAAAGATTGCTACTTTACTTGAAAGAGAGGAACAGAATACAACAGCTTTTGAGAAAGAGAGAGATTATGAGAAATTTTGTAAAGTATGTCAATAATATTAAAAAAAAAAATGAAATGTGAGTGATTAGAGTAAACCAAGATATTAATAATTAATAAAAATTGTTGGTTGATAAAGATTTAATTAAATGAAGAGGGGGTGAGGGGGGTGGGCTGTTGAAGATGCTTGATGTTGAGGAGAATGAAGACAATAAGCACCTACTTGGGACCGTTACTCCATTATTTGGAGGGTAGTGAGGTTGGGTGATCGATTTATTAGGGGGGTTTATAGTGTGTTTTTGAGGATTGATTAATCCACCTAAATAGAGGGTTTTTTTGGATGGAAGAAGTCGTCCACGTATTGTTTTTTGGTAAGCATTTATGTTCATCGGGTTTTAATTTTGGGTTATGAGTTCATATTAGGCGAAATTTGTCTACTAATGATCTTTTAGGATATACTTCATACTATGATCATATCTTAAGGATTGGGATATATATACCTAAAAGGAAATAAAATATATGGTAAAGATTTGTGCGTATATATCTTTATAATTTGGATATTACTCATATTAGTCATAAATATATAGATTGGACTTAAGTAACTATAGGGTGAAAAGGTTCAATTCAAGAAAACAAAGTAGAAAAATATAAGGTCTTTGACCTCTTTGTCTTGAAAATATTATCGATTTGACAATTTAAGTTTTATTCGGTAACTAAACTGATTTTTACTATTATAAGTTTCTTTTACTTATTAGAAATGATTATACATTTATTATACCTCATAAAATTGGTTTTAATAAAAATCTAAAATTGGTGTGAATAGTTGCCATGTGGAAAATCAAAATAAAATGATTGGTCAATGAGATTTGAAAGGAGTGGGATAAAAGTGGTCTATATATATATATCTACCTAAGAAGAGAAAAGAAAAGAAAAGAACAAGATATGAAAGGTTGTGACTTGTAAAAAAGATATGGGGATTTGGACGTTGGGATATGAAGATTAAAAAAGTATTACCAATAATGATAATAGGATAATTAGTAGCCAAATTAAACAAGTATGAT